TTTTTATTTTTTTTTTTTACCGCCTGTCATGTATCCAGTCAATTACCAGTCAATTTTTTTGGCATATTACCATTTTCACTTCACATTAGGGCCGTAAAATGGTTCTGAACAGCGTTTCGTGTTGATTTGATCTCTTATTTACAGCTGTTTAAAATCTTCTACAAGAGCAAACCCTATCCAGCATTACCATAACAACCTCACCTTAGCAATTGCCTAGCAACCACCTAGAACACCTTAGCAACCATTTAGAACACTTTAGCAACTGCCTAGCAACCACCAAGAACACCTTAGCAACTGACTAGTAACCATTTAGAATACTTAAGCAATCACTTAGAACACATTAGCAACTGCCTAGCAACCACTTAGAACAACTTAGCAACCATTTAGAACACTTTAGTGACTGCCTAGCAACCACTTAGAACTCTTCAACCGCCTAGCAACCACCTAGAACACCTTAGCAACTGCCTAGCAACCATCTTGAACTCCTTGGCAATGGTCTAGCGACTATTTAGAACAACAAACAACTACATTGTCTTTTCTAATAATTTGAAGACTTTTTCATTCCGTACGTTTGGTAGATGCTTCATCTAAAGCGACATGTTTCATATTTTATTAGTAAAACACTCATTTCAGGCTTCAATTATCAGGCAAGAAAAGATTCAAAGTTCCTCTTGTATTTTCCCACACTTTCTGAACTATTTCCATGACTTCAGTAGAGAACTGAGCGATACTCGTCTCAAGCACTCACAAATTTTATTTTAGTTAACAGGGACATTGCACATTAATGAATCATTTCTGATCCATAAGAATAAACATTTTAGAGCTGAGCAAAACTACATGTACATTGACACTTGGCACACTTCAATCCAGAGCGATTCCCAGCATTTTTATTCTAACAGTAGCCTATGTACTGGAATCAAACATGACCTCGATCAGCTGAACTACTAGAAAGAAAAAAAAAAAGCAGATCAGTGAAAATGTGTCATATATTAGGCCTACCAGCCAAAAGTATGGACACATGCACTCATTCTTCACTTTTCCACGCTTGCATGATGAAAACATCAATAGGATGTAGTGTCACAAATGAAAACTCATATTTCAGCTGCTTTGTCACTCCCGACATTCATCTACCAACTTCATGAGCTGGTTTCAAAGCTGAAGGAGTAACATGAGCGCTCATCATTGCATTTTGTGAAGTAATTCATATCTGCATGCGTCTACAAACGCATTTGTCTTCAGATCACAGGTTTTTAAGATCACGAGAACATCTGCGAAACTTCTGACCTAAAAACAGGTGTCACTGGGGCGTTTTACCTTCTTTTTACCCTTGCAGTGGCAGCACACCGTCCACAGGTACTTAAGGGTCCTCCACAGCAGGATGATGAAGAGACCCCCGAAGAAAGTGACCATGGAGGAGGCGAGGAAAGCCCACCACATCCTCTGGCCTCTGGGGTCACAGGGTACATCACTGGTGAAGGGGATGATCACATCCATGTTCCGAACCGAGGACGGAGCCGCTAGTTGATAGGTCATTATTGTGGAGAGCAGCTTCTCATCACCATCATCATCTTCTTCAATGGGGAGCATCGAGCGTCTTTCTGGAGATCCCGGCAGCGCCCCGCACCCGACAATCAGCCATGTTTAGCAGGGCGTAGAGCCCCGCGTGTGTGCACTCTCCTCCCGCTGCGCTCTGCGCTCTCGGCCGCTGCTCGGTTCTCCGCGCAACCGGTGACGCGCGGTACTCAGAACGCACGCAAGCACCTACTGGAAACGCGTCGTCGCGTCTTTAAACGAACTCGTACTCTGGGTATGTGTCACGATGCAAAACATGCCCGCCTGACCGTCCGCGAGCGCCGTTTCTCCCGGCGCAGATCTTCCGTGCGCTCTCTGTCGTTCACTAACGTGTTGCGTTCAGCTCCGTTCTCCGCGGCGCGTCCAGGGCAGATTCACAGGTGCCGGAGGGCGGAGTCAGTCAGTCTGATGCCCGTCAGAACGCCTCCAACCCCCGCCGATAGCCAAAACATCCATCAATCGCGTTTATCGTACACAAATCTGTCGTGGTAACCACAGCTCTGAGAAAAAATGTCATAATTTTTTTAGGTTGTGAATTATGTTAGGTGGGCTTAAAATAGGATCAAATATTTAAAACGTTTTGAAGCACGTTTTCAAATTGCATGGCAACAGTTCGGTGCTTTTAACCAGTTATAAAATAAAAATCGAACTTATTTAATGTTACTTTTGAGTTTTTAGTTTAAACTGTTGCTGTTGAAAAATGTCTTTATATAATTTTTTAATGTCTGTGTGTGTGTGTGTATATATATATATATATATATATATATGTGTATGTATATATAAATTACTGCTGCTATTTCTACAAATAATGTTTTTTATTAATTCACAGTGCTGACTATTCAAAATCAACTTCAAAATTCACTCACTAGTCCTTGATGAGTTCACATTCTGAGATGTAAAAATAAATCAGTTACTAGACTTTTGTTGATGTGTATGATAACACAGTAAAACCATCATTCACACCCTGGTATTTTCGAGGACACTGTGGTTACCATAGTAAATGTCTGAAAGGCTCATTACATTTATGGCCATGTTTTTAAACCTCATCGTGAACACGAATTGCTCAATTATTGTGCACTACCAGATGTACATGCAATGTATTTTTCTTAACATGTAGCCTAAATGCATTATATTCCAGATTTGATGTGCCGGTCACTGAAAGACCTTTCCATCTGAATCCAGGCACTCCAGACTTCTAGGGAAATTTACAAATTAAATAAATAAATACATCTGCACAAGGATGCAAACTTACAAAAGCTTACTAAGTGGAAAACTCTTTTTTTTTTCTATGTAAGCTTCAAATAAGTTTATTTTTAACCTAAATGTGCATAACTGACATTTTTGCAAGAGAAATAAAAGTTGCTCTAAGCCACATTTGGGATCAACATGAACTTGTTTTTCCTTTTTTATGATAACAAATATTCTTCCGTTTGCCATATGATATTTTCCGCTGAATAACAGCTCAAGTAATAATATTTCACCTGATGTTTACATAATCCTGGTTATGGGGATGAGGCTGAAGGAGGAAATGACGCCATCTGGTGACTCCTCACAGGAACTGCATCATCATATTTTCCACATGAGCTCTAGGACACACCACACAACACATTAAATGATGTTTATAGAAATGTATAGAATTTTTGACTTTTACTTTCCTTATTGCTCCAATGTTTCCATTAATTCACCATAAACTGCAAACAGACTCAATACATGCAGATGAAAAAAATACAATTATTCTGCTGAAAGTATAAATGTTTAGACAGTACAACGCTAAGTCATGTTTAATTTAGACTTTATTAATGTAACAATTACAAAATCATATTTTTGTGTTTAATGTGACAGTACCAGGGTGTTATATTACTATAAAACATAATGGAAAACAGAATTTTAATTGGAATTGTGTGTTTTTTTCCAGCTACAAACGGAGCATCTGCACCAATTCAACATCAGCGTCATTATTGGCAGGAGTGGAAGAACATTACGTGACGTGAGAGAGTTTCAATCTTTGTTGATGAAGCTAAACCAAGCGACTCCTTTCATTGGTCAACATACAGTAGGTCAGAACAGGAAGTGATGTCACAGTGAACATCCTTCTGTAAAGTAAGCCGAAAGACTAGTGTAGTACCAAAGCTTTCACTAGAGAGAGGATTAACTAACTATTCCTGAACGAGGATTACTCAATCTCCCGTCTGGGATTAATAAAGTAGATCTGTCTACCTTTCCATCCAAATGAGTGCAAAATACAGGCAAAGCAGAAGGAAGCATTTGGCACGTTTGTTTCTGAAAACAAGAAGAGCTTTTAAGATGTAGTAATAAGAACGAATAAGCATTCAGCTCTGCCTAAGACTCGACTACAAAAGACATTTAAATTAGAGTTAAAAATTAAATGGACAGAGCATATAGGAAAATTATCATGCAGCAGATTATTGCATCGTTCATTTAAATAATAACAAGTACACTTAAAAGACAATGAGATAAGGAAACTGCTACATTAAAGCTTAAAGGAATAGTTCACTCAAAAATGAAAAATGTTTGCATGTCGCTTCAAACCCGAAGATTGCAGAAAATTCACTCTGCTCTTTTCTATGCAATGACAGCGAATCAAAAATGCACTTTATTCTGATTCATGACAACTCTGAGTGAGAAAAAACCCTCAAAATGACATTATCTTATAGTGCTTTTTGAAGCATGGCAACCTGTCGGCTTTCATTGTGTGGAATAGAGCAGCTCAAACGTCCTGCTAAACATCTGCTTTTGTGCTCCACAGAATACAGGCTTGAATAAATGATGACAGAAGTTTCATTTCGGGGTGAAGGAACCCTTAAACACGAAAACAAACTTAACAGTCAGTATTTTTAACCTCAGAAAACCGTAAATTGAGCATCTGTGTCGAACTAGCATGCACCGATCGGATCAGACCCACGCGGGGACAGACACATGAAGTTAAACATTCAAGTAAGCTGGTTCTTAAACATCACCTCTGTAAACATGAAGAACTACATGAAAGCCCTCATAAATTAGTGTTACCACAGAGAAAACACAGGAGGATATTGCTGCTCGTGCACGTCACATGCGACTGTCTAACAGTTGTGATCATTGCCTGAGAGTTTGTGCACGCGAGGAGTGTGTGTCCAGGGCTGGGCGATATCACCAAAGAAAAACAGCAATATTTACATTAAATTATATTTATAAGCAACAAAGAGACATTTCTGAGTGATGATGCAAACAATCATTGAATCAGAGTTTCATTGAATCAATCATGAAGCTTAACCAAATAAAAGCATATTAAACAATTAGGAAATTCATAGCTGCTCATTAAGCACTTAATATTTCATGAATATCTGATATAGCGTCCAGCCCTAGTGGTGTCGTAGTGAGTTTAACAGCAGTGGAGTGTTGCAACAGTGTGAGATTGGTAGCGATGTGTTATTACACTGCAAAACAATTGTTTTCTTACTCAGTATTTTTGTCTTGTATGAATATCTTAACCTTCTTAAAGGAATAGTTGCGGTGATTGCATCACTTTCTCAGCAATGGATGCTCTGCAGTGAATGGGTGCCGTCAGAATGAGAGTCCAAACAGCTGATAAAAACATCACAATAATCCACAGCACTCCAGTCCATCAGATAACATCTTGTTTTGGCTTGTAAACGCTGCTTGATCTGTGCAGATTTCTCTCCTGATTCAGACCAGACCACTTTTTCACTGGAGGAAGCGTTATTATGGATTATGGACTCGTGATTTAGTTAAAAACGTCTTAATGCTGGATTTGTTTCAGCTTTTGTCTTCTCCAGATGTTAACTGATGGACTGGAGTGCTGTGGATTACTTGTGGATTATTGTGATGTTTTTATCAGCTGTTTGGACTCTCATTCTGACGGCACCCATTCACTGCAGAGCATCCATTGCTGAGACACTGATGCAATGCTACATTTCTCCAAATCTGATGAAGAAACAAACTCATCCTAATCTGGGATGACCGGAGGGTGAGCACATCTTCAGCACATTTTCATTTTTTAATGAACTATTGTTTTTTTTTTTAATTTTTACAAATTGATTATTTTTCTTATCCCACTGAAAGAATTTTGAATTCTTCAGAAAACAAGACTTAATACCGGTTTCCTTAAACGTAATTTAAGAATCTTTAGATATTTGTAATGAAAAATGACAAAAAATACTAAGTAAGAAAATCATTTTCAGCAGTGTGTTGTGAAGGATGTGTGTGGTTCTTCACATGCTTCCATCAGGAATCCAAAGCACTTTGTTCTGCTCCTGGTCCACGATGGCCATGATCTGAGTGCATATGTTGGACAGACTGCCGGCCTGGACGACGCCTGCAACAGAACGGCATCACAAATCACTCACCAGCATGCCGTTGTGTGCGTAATCGTGTAAACGCATGCGTGTGTGCGTCTCAGACCTGTTAAGTATTTGCTGTAGTCTTGTTCGATCCTCTGCGCAGACTCAAACTGCTCTTTGGAATGTTTTTGTGACACTTTGTCTCGCAGATACACAGGGTCTTTCTGCTCCCTGAGTGAATTAAACACAGACTCAGTACAGACACAGCTACTGCTAATTAACTGCACAGCTAAATGTTCATTTCTGGCCTCAGTTGCAGTAATCAAATTCATTGATTCATTGACTCAGAGTGGCTCTAGCGGAGCGAGTCATTAGACTGATTCATAATAAAGAATCATTCTACAAAAACTCAGACATTGCGTTGCATGCAATCTAAAGATGCAATGATGAGAGAAAGCGAAAGAAAATAATCAGAGGAAAAAAACTATATGAGACATACGGTAAATGAGCCTAAATGAGCACATGTTTATGCAAACATCCAAAGGCAGACGTCACTCACTTAATCTGCTTAGCGTTTCTGTATCGTATGAATATGACGATGGGGTAAATGTTGATGACGTGCAGGCGCTCGATAGCATGAGGTGCAATGTCCAGCAGACAATGACAGTCCTGAGAAAGAGAGAGACAGCATGACCTCAGCACAGCTGAAGAATGAGACAACTTCTGGAGTAATATACAAATAAATGTGAATCTCATGAAAATGTCAAAATTTCATCCCAAAATAAAATAAGAAATATTATGTATTATTATTTGGTTATAATAATAATAATACATTTTTATAATAATAGATACATTATTAATTACATTAATTAATACAATAATTTTATAATAATATTATGTTTTACATAAGAGAATGAAAATTATTTTAGAACGATTAAAGACTTTTCAGGATTGATACATTATTTTAAGGACAATTTCCTGACAAATGTCCTCTTTTGTTAGTTGTTTTACGTAAAAAGTATCTGATAAATTAATAATATGCTTTCCAGATGCATATAAATCTCATGAAATCATGTACA